CTTTACTAAAATCCTCAGTATGTTTAGTGAAAATCAGTTAACATGGATACATTAGTTAAAAAAATATTACCGTGCTATTTATTTATTTTGATGACATACTGATAACTTGATCGATAGATTTTGTTCAATAGTCACAAGTACTCAGCAACACTAGGTGAAATCCTCTAGATCACACGGTCAACATCAAAATGCACTTGGTGGGTAAGCGAGAGATTGACCATAGTCTCATTCTGTATGCATAAGTCTTATTGAAAATGACTGATAGCTTCAGCAAAACAGTAAATTTTGTATCCTCTGTAATTTATGTTTTACTACTTGTAAGTAGTTTAGTGTTTCACCACTTTGTGCATATGATTTTCCTTTCATCATTCTTTGGCAGTAAACAGGGGAATAAAATTTTTTTGCGGAAAATCAAAATGTCCCCATCACATCAATAACAATAAAACTTCATTTACCTGATCACAATTCACCAGGATTATGCATTTCTTCTGATCGTGTAAAAACACCGATTTTCATTCGGTATCAGCACGTATGTGTGTGAATAATGTTGTGAAAATCAACCCACAACTACTGCTTACATTATTTTCTGGAAATTTTCACAGATTGAAATCAGCTACGGAAGTGGGAAAAACAGGAGAATTTTACCTCTGCAGTCCATAAAATTCGCAGCTAAGACTTGTAATTACCAATAAAATGCAAAATAACGTCACTCTGGAAATACAGGTCATTCGATTTACAACCAGTGACTAAACTACTCTGCTATGAGTCCAGTAGTTCGTTTTTGACTGGATTCTTTCTTTTACTAAGTTACTTTGGATTATAATATAATTAGAAATTTTATCACTTATTCATTGTCAGTATCAGTCTATTGGATTTTGTTAGGATTTAAGTAATTTAGTCACAAATCTACAACTAAAGCACCACTGAGCCGCCATCTCATCCTTCAGTAACACGCGCCTAGAACTCTGAGTGAGACCAGACCAATAAACCCCAAGTGATGAGGCAGAGATGTTGTCAACTATGTGCTAGTATAGACTCAAATGGTTTGGGATTTTCAAATTTTATTTCTGGCGTCTGACACTACTGTGATTCAGTATCCCAAATATATCCTAGAAACCGGCTTGTTGGAACCCACAGGTTACACTTTCTCATTTTTTTATTCCTTCATGTTCCCAGTGGAACATAGGGCTTCAAGCTAGAGGCCTGATGTTTCTGTAGCAGTGTTTATTTTAACGGGATGGGGTTGCTAGCCTCATGCCCAACCTTTCCTCTTTATCAGCATTATTATTTCTGGCTTAGCGAGGTGAAGGAGTGGGTCGGCCGGGGATCAAACCCCGTACCATGTGCATGGTCGGTGAGCGTCCCAACCGCTGTTCCACCGACGCACAATTTCTCATTGGTAGAGGATATTTGCCAATCATCAGATTTCGTTGTGAAGCACCGATAATAATGATATTATTAAAATGTACCCAACTAAAGGCCTAGTTCAGAACACTATGAGATCTTTCCATTACAATTTTAGGAAATCCATCACGAAGCTAGTTGTTAATGTACAGTGAATTTATATTATGGGGATTATTTATCCCCATGTCCTGGGACCAGCCGTGTGTTGTTAACTGACTATATTTCAATGCATCACGTACGCTGAACTGTTTCGTATATGATACATAGTTTAACAGATTGTAAGCAACTGATGAAGAGTTAACGCTGTGGAATTCTGTCATAGTCATCCTTTATCTCATCAAATCCTACTGCAGTAGATAGGAATGCAGTGATGAGCCTCAGTGTGTAATTGTTATGTACTGGTCGAGAATTTAATAGTCCTGAAGCAAGAAAGACGGAAATCAGAAGACCACTAGGTTTGCGATGATACTTCTATTTTCCAAAACACCAGGAGAATCAATGTCACACAAGTGTGTGAGAGCAATTTAGTGTGAATGTCCGAACAAGTGTGTGAGCGAATACTCAAAATGAACAAATCAATAGACAGTCTTAACATGATTGGCTAATTGTAATGGAATATCGATCCATATATACCTAGCAAATATAACAGACTGTCAAACAAACACACATATTATATGGGCACATATCAGTAATAAAATGACTGTCTATCGCTCTTGGATTTCCAAACTAACGTAATTTCATGTGAAAAAGACACACTGCTAAAACTGTACACTCCGATGTGATGAAAGAGGATCAGCGGCAGACAATAAGCTTCTATTCACACGAAACACATGAAACCTAAGCATCTCTAAACACCCGACTAACAAAAATCTTGTGATCTCTAATTTTCTATAAGAATTATCCACACTTCTATATAAGTAATCTTCGTCACTTTTTTCTTCATATTATCCCTCCTGTGAAATTAACTATCTATTGACAATACTGGTATTGCTTTCCACACAGTTCCTGCATGTGAAGTTAGTACTTCAGTCATTGCTAAAAATTAAAGCCAGCGAAACATCATTTCCAACACATTGCAACTACAGCGCAACTATGCATCAGAGTTTTCAACGTGTGAATTGCATTCCAAGTTGGTCAACAGACAAAACTCCTGCAATAAATAAGTGTTTAGTCTCTGAAATATGCAAACAAGGAATCAAGGACGTTGGATATTAATCTAACTCCATCGGCAGTCCCTCTACGGTTGCCAGTTCTCATGGTCTTAGTAGTGTGAGGATAGTACTATGATGTAGAGTAGAAAACGTACTGGTCATAAAGATATCAGTGGGGAAGCGTCTATCTTCTTCAGTTCAATGAATATATAAAAGATAAAAACCTGATACCTACTTACCTATTCACTATCTAGTTAGAGACAAGTAAATGATAGGTTCTATCAGAAAACTTCACGTTAGCTGGAGAAAACATAATGCTAAAATAACCACACTGGTCATGATTTAGTCTGAATAGTGAGGTAGTCGGAAAAGCGACTTTGAAGCTCCTACGTGTCCTCAATACGAAGAGCCAACAAGAGAGATGCTTTGCTATAATTTAGTTTCAATAATCACTTGTTTACTGACAGTCGTAACTTCAAACCTAGCGGTTGATATTATGGAGCCAACAAAGGACACGGATAGACTACGAAATGTTAATAATATGGAGGTTAGAAGACTGTGTCTCCTCTGAGATATCTAAATGGACACTCACAATGTGTATGTCCATGTACGCTAGTGCCTGTAACTAATTTAATTTTACTTTCTCAACTTATCGATGCAAATACCACATTTGTACTTATGTGGGAGCTAACTGGACATTTATATGAGTAGGAAAACGATGCACAGTTTGGACCAACCTGGCATTATATTCAAAATACTTTCAAAACGATGAACTCAGATGATAACCTATGACACCAAGTTAATGGAAGCTAGTGGATTCCTGTAGTTCAATTTCAGCTGAAATCAGATCGATTCCAGAAGTAAAAGCTTGTTGTAGGCTGACTAGAAGTTTTCATAAGAACAGGGAATTGTGGGTGGTGAATGCAGTCTATCACACTCATCATTCGTCTACACTTGTTAGGCAGGCCAGCCGTAAAATCTCTTCTAAATGAAAACAACCTCCGATAAAGATGTAATTTCAGAAACTCATGATGAGAAACAGTAGGAACGTCGTGTAGAACACTTTAAGGAGTAACTCAACTGTTTCACAGTTACCTTCGATCCAATCCTAGTAAGAATAAGACATACATACAAGCTTTTTAACTTCAAAAAGGTTATGAAGGCTGCCTCTAGTTTGAAGTCTAATATAATACAGACTCTAACCACTACTCACGTTTGGTAGAGCAACATAATAAGTCCTCGTAAGAAGAAACATAAGAGAGAACGTCATTCCAAGAAATTACGAGTGCTTACCAACAGAGAAATGTTAGATATGGTGGTCCCCCTCACTTCGTAGTAAATAGTTCAGAACAAAGTATTAGATTGGATAAGAGTTAGTGGTGGTGACACCACAATACTGATACGAATTCATAAATTTTTTTGATTACAGCTTGATTCCACACCGTATTTTGGGTACAGGTATGGAATTTTCAGCATGGTAGCCCAAATTTTGCAGGCCGAAAATAGATATCAGGTGTGCGTCCTGGCCATTGACAGTGGAAGATATGAAAAGATTAGCTGTCCTTCATCATAGGTGCCTGCGTTCTATTTCCCGTGTGAAGTGGTGCAGTAGGTTGGGAAATCCCGACCGAAAGCTGCTACCCTGACATGGTGGTCAGGCCTGAACACCGCAATGACCTAATCAAGCTATACTGTCCGAGACTTATGTCTCTTGAGGTCCTACCATGCCAGAAAGGTTGTTTGGATAGCGGTTAGACAAAAATCACCTACCCAATCCAATACTATGATACAAACAAACTCACAATATATCATGCCGGATTAACAACGACCGCGCTTCCTGCTGCCGTGTCACAGGGAAGAAGTGATAAATATTCTACTGAGACACACCAAACAATAAAGAACAAACAAAATCAGGCCGTGTGTGACCGGCCTCAAGCAGTTGTCCCCTGGGCTCTGCGGTCACGCAACCAACTTCCACGGTGTGGGCAGCCGGGAAGTAACAATCACCCTCATAATCCGAAATGCACACGAAACCTCTCTAATCCTCACTCATCTTTGTTTTCATCTTCATCTCTAGCATCTTGCTTTCCTTCCACTGATGCAACTCCTCTGCTTGATGGCGGTGAGTAATGGCAGTCATCAGATTGCCATAAAGCATACAAGGGGGATCGCATTCAGATTTAATATTTCTGGTATTCTCTTTTTTTTCTTTTCATGTATATATTTTCTATAATATGCGACAGTAATGTGTTTATTTCTTTGTCTTTTCGTTTCTTAACCCACATTGTGACACACACCAATGTTCAATAGGGCAACACAAAAAATACCACACAATGATGTTATAAACAACGCTGTTAACGAGTATTGGCCAAACAATGCTTAGGATTTTTATCACTAAAGAACAAATAACAACAGCAATTCATCGACAACAATGGCAGCAGGAAGTGAAGTTCACCTCCTTAGAAAAATTTATATTTGAAGATAAGATAAGCATGTAAGCACTACAGACTAAAACTACTACTATTCATTTCTATATTTGTGTCAGTCTATGAAAACAAAATGGCCATTGCAAATAGATTCGACAACTTTTATTCTGGGCTTCTTTTCAATGTACAATATTTTTGTAAGATTAAGGTATGATGTAGAATATACAAAATAATTCAGAAACAGAGTTAATTCAATTAACAATAAGATCTTATTTAACTAGAAGGTAATTATAAATTAGGGAACCCCCTGTCGAATGACAACTTCACGCTGATATTCAATTAAATCACCATCAAGGTCAGAAGTACAACTTTCTCCTGCATTTCCCATTCTTTCTTTTTTCCTAGGTAATGCACATGAATTAGAACACGTGAAAATGTACAATGATCCAAAATCTGGACTGGGTTCATCCACTCGATCCAAATGCAAATGACAGAGAAGTTGGGGAGTTACCTAATTTTATTACAAAGTGAACAATTGAAAATCTCTTATTTTCTCTAACAAAAAAAACAAAACAAAATCAAGTGGCACACAAAAGCGAAAATCATTGTCAACAATACAATTATGCTTCATAGACGACTGATTAGTAAACTTGTCTGTCTGTTTTCGATATAGAACTTTGCACCAATGTGCGGCTGTTCAAGTTGCCACACTCCCTCCTTGTAGCACACAAAGCAACAGAAGAAAGTACAAGAAATGCATTTTAGAGACAGTAAACAGAGGTGTCAGACAAAGGAAGAGTAATAACGAAGAACAATATAGTTTCATTGCAAATCATAAGTCACAAGGAGTGGATGCATCTGCACCAGTCGTTAAAAACGATTTTGAGCCGTCATCAACCATTGGTTTTTACCGTCCCGAGGACCCCAACCAGTCAGGAAGTCTACACCTTCCTATGTGGCTTAGACTAACTGTTGTAGATTTCATTGACTGATGCAGTCATGTTTTTGTTTGACCGCCGCTAGCTTTTTTCCAGCCTGACCCTATATCCGCTAACATTGCTCTTCGAGGAAGGCGATGACTAGGCATACGTAACACATGTCCTACCTAAAAGGCCAGAGTTTATTGGTAGAAAAGTCAGTTAAGTCTATTCGAGAATCCCTACACCCATTGATTAATTATGTTGGAGAGAAATGCTCGATGACTGTTAACACTTAGTGTCACAGAGGCTTCAACAAGACCAACACCATAAATAATACCTCGAATTTTCTAACAAAAATTTGCAGCGCAGTGATATTACCTGTCTTACCATTAAGTACACTTCGTTTACAAATTAAACCAACATTTGCAGGCATAAAAATACAGGGGATTTGAAACACCTTCGTTAACTTCATGCATGCAAAGACACTACCAGTATTACTGCACATACTTGTATATTTAGTGATCGTGAAGCAATTTCGAGAATAGCAAGTCAAAAGGCTGAATATATAATGATAACTTAACAAAATCATCAGCTCAAATAAAACAGTTGTTGGTAAAAAAAGAAACTTCAGCACGTAAGCAAAAGACACCTTAGAGATTTATCGATATGCACATCATTTTTAGTATCGGTTCCGTAGCCACATTTTATACACAACATTTCGGCTGCTGATATGAAAAGATTACAAGTCTGTGATGATCAACGTGTTTGTCCTATCGCCTGGGGTTAGACGTGAAGTAGGAAATCCATATTAAAATGTGTAGAAAAAGCAAATATGTGATTCAATGAAGAAACTGTTTTCGGAGAATCCCTTCAATACTAAAGTCGCAACTATATAGCATTTGTTACACGAATGAGTTCAATAGTTTTACGTCTAAGATGTATAGCGACTAGCAGAAGAAACAAAAAATTGCTGAGACAAGCAAGCGTTAAACAAACATAGACATAGAGTTGCTTCATAAGACAAAATGCACACAGGAAGAATTATTCTCTGAATGAGCATGGAAACAGAAGAGAGATGAAATTATATACGAATTAAAGTGGGTCGGAGAAGCAGAAGCGTATATATATATATATATATATACGCCGATTCTCCAGCTAGTAGAAGCATTTTATGTGAGTACATTATTTTCAACACACATGTCAACCTCTCAGTGAGGAAAAGTGTTTAGTGATATTCTCACTGTAAGGTAAATCAAAATAGGTTCTGAAAAAAGTTACCTGAAATTCAAAAATACGTTCAGCACCACAAACTTCACAATTTTTCACCACTGGAGGAGAATCACTTAGCCATATCGGTTTCCCACCCCTCTGAAACCTAACAACCTAAACACGAAAATGTAGAAAGCAGATGGGATGTTAGAAAGATATTTCAGTTTTTTTTTTTCATAGATATAACAAAAATGATTGTATTAGTAAGACGGTGACAGAAGTTACACATGAAATCAGAACTTTAGTGAACTGCTGAATTAAAACTCAGTTTAGAAATATCCAAATTACAAGAGAAACTACAATCCCGGAAAAAAGCAAATACCGAATACAATCGAATCCCCATAAGATTTTCTACATAGTCTAGTGAATTTAAAAATTGAATTAAGGTTTCCACTGAACATTCATCTGTGTGAACCGCAACATATTCGACAGGATTACTAAGATTTTATTGAGAATAAAAAGCATATACACTCAAATATTATAAATAATAAAATGAGCTCGTGTGAATGTGATTTCATAAGACCAATAGTAGATTTTAGAAATACTTCCACTTATGAATTATCAAAACACTTAGCTCTAATACTTTGTCCCATTAGAAATCGTTCAAATTCTAGATTAACTAATTCATATGAGATGAAAAATAAAATCAATGACATTCAACTAGCGAATGATGAAACAATGGTTAGTTTTGATATACTTAGTCTTTATACTAATATACCAGTTAATATGGCCTTAGAAGCAATTAAAAAAGAATTAACTGCGGATCCGGAACTCAGTCATAGGACAAAGCTGTCCATTGAAGAAATTATTTTAGGGATTCAGTTATGCCTCACATCTACTATCTTTAAGTTCCAAGGCGAAATATATAGACAAACAGAAGGTGTAGTAATGGGATCACCAATATCCCTTATCGTAACAGACATATTTATGGACAGCTGGGAAAATGTTGCTTTTAATACACTTAATCCTACTCCGAAAATATGGTGGAGATATGTGGATGACACTTTCACAGTGTTAAAAAACAGAACACATCTCTAGCTTCTTGACACATATAAACTCACAAGTTGAGGGAATAAAATTCACATTTGAATCAGAAAATGAACAAGGAGAATTAGCTATAAAATTCATTAGGAAGATCAGTAAAGACCAAAAGCAAAATAAAAATAATCGTGAAACTATTAATGATAACACAAATAAGAAAGAATATAAATCATCCACTGTTATACCATATAAGGAAGGGACATCTGAGGCCCTACGTAGGATTCTTAATAAAGCAGGAATTAAGGTGGCATTCAAACCTACAAACTCACTCAGAGACAAGCTCTGTAGACTAAAAGACCCGTTGGATCCAATTAAACAAAATAATATAATTTACAAAATACCCTACAATGACTGTAAGGTGAACAACATAGGTCAAACTAGTAGGTCAGGGATAGTCAGATTATCAGAACATAAGAATTTAGCTAAGGTAAGAATGGTTGACCCTGAAAAGTAATTTAGAAAAAAGCTCAGCTATTGCACTTCACGCAATAACAAACAACCACACAATAGGGTGGGATAGGGTTAAAATTCCAAAAAGTAATTTAGGTAGGTGGACAGGGAGGCTGATCACAGAATCCTTATTTATCGAGTCTACACCCAACACACACAACAGAAATGACTCAATGCAAATACCAGAGATATGGAAGATATTATTACCGCAGGTCAAATCAGAAGATATTAAATAATCTTAAAATTCTATTTGAATTCAAACACATTCAAACACAACATTCTAACAAGTAGCTTATTATGACTGTAAAACACACTCGTCCTTTTTTCCCATCTAACTGCAACTGATCAACAACACTCGTACTATTATTTCTGAATGTACATTATCTCACATTGATTTTAATCTAATATCTAATTGATTCTACACATGTATATAAATGAAAGAACAAAGTTGTGTGAGTAACTTGATATGATTATGAGTGGCAATAGTTTGTGCTCGAAACGTCATCAGTTAATATAACTGTACAACACTGTGTGTGATTTATCAAAATAAAATCTTATCCATAATGGAGTTATACTCTACCACAGTGCCCAAGCTTTATACTTATATCAATGATTTCATGGGTAATTAAATATGGTTAGTTACCATACATTTTAATTATTATTCCCACTTAGCTTAAGTGGTAGAGAGCCAACAAAGTAGTCGGAAGGCCACTGGTGTGCATCTTGTTGTGAACTCCAATTATCAAACCTTACTTTAGTAGTAGCTCGTTAATCCACTGTTACTCTAGGTAGTTTCACCATCACGTATTAAGTAGTCAAAAGATATTTATATGTGGGTGTGAAAAACAGTAATTTATTGTTCAAAAGCCGAAAATGAACCAAGAGTTTGACAAACTTTTACGTGAACTTTGCTACAAACCGATATTACTGAAAGTGATTGAAAACCAAGGAGCACTGGACATCTCTTTCGTCTCAGTCTGGAACTCTTCGGTAGTGTGAACCCCTGACGCCACCAGTGATTGAACCCAGGATCTTCTGGTTAGGAGTCAAGCCATCTACTCACTAGATGGAATCCAATGACTTAGGAGTTTTTAATTCTAGCTCGCTTAGTTAACTAGCTCGACAACTTTTTAGCCGGTCCAAAGACCGAGTAAAGAGGGAGGGTTGGGCGTGGGGCTACCAACCCAACACCACTATATCACACAGAAAATATATTAAGAATGCAAAAACTTTAAATAACAAAAGTCTCATTCTTCGCTCGAATCGGAGAGGCGAAACGACACGGAAGGCTGGCGAAAGCCCACTTTCGGGAAGCCAGTCAGCCAGTCGATGTGTTTTCTCTTTGTCGACGAAAGCTAGAATAAGAATGGGGACGTGGACGTGGAATGTAAAACACTGGGAAGGTTGACCAGGTAACCAAAGAAATCAGAAGATATGGTATGGAAGTCCTGGGAATCTGCGAGAGCAGATCCAATGGATGAGGACTATGGAATTTGTCAACTAGAGAGTCAGTATTATACTACAGTATGGTCGCCCAGACGATAACCACGAGCACACTGAGGCAATGAGTGCCAGTCACGACGTCACCAGTGACAGGCGAAGTTCTAATGCATTGGGAACCAATCTCCTCCTCCAGGATCGTGACAGCAAGATTCAACTCACAAGGAAGGAAGGTCACAATTAACCAGGGCTAAAACAACGCCGAACAAGAAAAGGGAGATTTTTACAGACAGGACACCAGCTAGATGGAGGCATCAAAATCCTTATGAGCGATATGAATGCCAGGTAAACTGGAAGCAGACAATTCAGAAAAAGAACTCATCATGGTTGCGAGGCTCTCACTCGGTGAAATAAGTGATAACGGAGAACTCTTCACAAAAGTCTGCGCCTTCAGTCAGTCAGTTAGTGATCGGAGGCAGAGTGTACAAGCACAAGGACAGAAACAACGCAACATGAATTTCGTCTGACGGACAAACTAGACAGACTTCATCTCAATGCTGCTCAAGGATTTGGAGACGCAACCAGTCTGGTGGACACAAAGTCGAGAAAAGGACTCAGACAATCATCTAGATCAAAGAACCCAAAAGGTGAAGCCAAATCCCTCAAAACAACTGGAGACAGGCCACTGTAATTCAAGTTCAACATTCAGAAACTGAAGGACGAAACTACAAGGGATACCTACGCTACAGATTAGATCAGTGCAAAGGCGGACACACTACGTGGCATCACGGAAGAAACCTGCGTGGAAGAACAGTGGAACTCTGAAAGCGATGTTTAAGGAAATGTGTATAACTGTTCTAGGAAGCAGGGGGAGACAAGACAAGGAGTGGCTGTCAACGGATACCTGGGAGGTAATCGAGGAGAGGAGGATGATGAAAGAGGAGATGACTCAGTGCAAAGATGGACAACAGAAGGAGGAGCTGAGGTCAATATACACTGCAAAGAATACAGAAGTGAAGAAGAGTGCTAGAAAAGATAAACGACAATTCTACGACACACTGGAAACTGAAGCAGAACAGGCTGCAGACAAAAGAGATAGCAGGACACTATATCAGATAACTAAGTCTCTATCTGCGAAGAGATCAAACCAGACCAATAAAAGATGCTCAGAGGGAACTGATGACCAAGGAGAAGAAACAAATCAAACAATGGGCAGATCACTTCATGTAAATCTTGAATCGACCACCACCGGAAACTCGCCCAGAAATACCACCAACAGTACACACGGGTCCCGCCTGCCAGTGGACACCACTCCCCCAACGAAAGAAATCCTGAATGTGATCCAGCTATTTAAGGCCAGCTGGGAAGGCAGGCAGCAGGACCAGACGGCACTCCCCCAGAAGCACTGAAGATGACCCCAGAGATTACGCCTGATGTTCTCACTCCATTACTGCAAAAAGTTTTGAGAGAAGGAAAGGTGCCTGCTGATTGGAAGAAGGGCTACCTCGTCAAACTACCAAAGAAGGGCAACTTAAGCATCTGCAAGAACTGGTGTGGAATAATACTCTCTTCCACGCCAAGTAAAATACTAAATCCCATCATCCTGGAGAGAATAAAAGAAGCACTGGATGCAGACCTCCGCCGGCCAGGAATAAGCAAGATTCAGTAAAGGCAAATCATGTGCTGATCAAATTGCTACCCCATGCATCGTAATCGAACAAAGCATAGAATGGCAGTCAAGCTTCTACCCCAACTTCATTGACTTCCAAAAGGCCTTCGCTAGCGTAGACCGAGAAGTAATTTGGAAACTACTTCAACACTGCGGTGTACCTCGAGTCTTTGTCAACCTCATTCAACAACTACATGACAATGCCACGTGTCCGGTGACCAAAAACGTAAAACTCAGCGAGGCGTTCTAAGCGCATACAGGACTAAGACAAGCTGACTCCCTATTATCACCAATGCTATTTTTCCCGACCGATACTGCTACCTTGACGTGGTTAACGGGTTTGAATCTGAGAAGGATGTCGGTGGCACCTATGGAGTTCTGTGCCAGCCAACCGACAACGGTGACTGTCTCCTACAGTTCTGTTCAGATAATCATTTGTTTCTTGTAAGCACTAACTTCAAACACAACGAGAGACACTGTTTGACCTGGCGACCCCCATCATCAAACCAACGCT